CTTTCCCCCTTCCCTTTGTTTTCTTCAGTTTTTCAGTTCTTCTGTTCTTTCTTTCTCTTTTTTCTATTGTGGTTTGTAGAACGTAGTTGATAAGTTTGGTTTTTCTTTTTGTTTGATATTTTTTAAATATATATATGCTTTTTGTTTGCATTATGAAAAAAATTGAATAAGTTGCTTCTTTTTCCGTTGTTTGTGGTAAAATGGTTTTTTTTTCTTGTTGCTTTTCGTATTTTTTGTTCATCTGTGTGCATTCCTAAAGGATAATGCACTGATTGCTCTGCCTTCTTCCATAAGAATTATTGTTGTCCCAAAATGTGTTAATTTTACACCATTTTTGGTTGCTATGTGTTTTCTTTCCATTTGGTGTGTGTGTGTGTGTTATTTCTTGTGCTATCAAAGAATTCAATAATGAAAAATTTCCTGATACATGTAATTTCCTGTGTACATGATGCACTTTATACACTTCATTAGACAGCAGAAATATATTATTTATGATAAATGTCACTATTGTGTGCAAAGGGTTTAACGACATTCGCCTGTGCGATGTAGTCAAGGGAAAGAACAAAGAAAAAAATAGATGACAACATTTTTATATTTGTTGCTCCCCTTGTCCCTGACGGTGCAAAATTCTTGCATTTATTGTCACAGTTTTGGCTGTTTGACATGGAGTCCTTTCTTTTTGATCTTTACTCTGCTGCTTATATTCTGATCTTGTCTTTAGTTAATCTTTGATTTCAGCATGAATGTTGTCAGCAAACTTGTTAGCATATTCTGTCTGTGGTCACACTTACTCTTACGTATCGAATAAAAGTTGGGGGTGGGGGAGGGGGGATGGACAAGTGATCCAAAATTAATAAACTAGGGGCACATTCAACCTCGTACCTCTGTATAAGTAGGAACAAATCTGGTTTTATTTCTACTTCTGTGAATAAAAGAACAAGAGATCATGGAATTTTAGGGATTTTAGTAAGTTATTGTGATAACTTTTCCCATTCTACAAACCAGTTTCATTAAAAAATATAAACCGACGTTCAAAAGTTTTTTAAATGCCCAGAAAATTGAGGTAGTCTACCCGATACCGGTACTACTACTGAGGGTAATTTTCCATTTACCAAAAAATAAATGAAGTTTCATTCTGATATCTAGATTCTAGATATAATGTGTCACATGATCGTCGGTCGTGGCACGCTGAAATATAGGATAAGATATTAAAC